CGGGAGATGCAATGTAGGCATGTTTCATAGTTACAGTTCATCTAACACACTGTACAATCTATAAGTACTGTTTATCAATAATAATAAATGTCCAAACTTCGGAGTTATTCTAGGAAACAAACGTCTAATTACTAAGTGAGAAATTATTTGATTCTGTTATACGTTATTTCAGATATTAACCTTATAGCTAAAACGTATAAAGGCAAATTTTAATTGCAGTAGCGAACCACATTAAATTAGAAAAAAGGTAACGTTGTAATCGTCAAATTTCCGTTTAATTGGTAGGTCAATGCTAAACGCACACTCAAATAGCTATTTAATTTACAACAATATGCCTAATGTTTATCTTTTCAACTACATGACAACCTAATCGGATAGACTATATTAAAAATGAAGTAAAGTTATTAACAAAGGGTATGACTCTCTAAGGGTCATTAATTAACCATGTGCGCACTTACCTTTCTTTATCGCTAGGTTTCTGTTCTTTTTTGGTAAATTCAACATCAGACAGGTTATTCAATTGGTAAGTTTTTTTACCCGTAAAACTTCTCTCCAACCCGTTTTCTTTGTTCTTCATTTTTATAGCACACTATAAAAAATCAACCATATAAACTAAGGCACAGCCAGACTAATTTTGTTGACATTAAGTTACGTTGCTACGTTTTCACACGTTCAGCCTTTATCCTTACCGGAACAAGACTATCTGTGATATTACTATCATGATAAAATTGAGCACTACTATTCGTTTGATAAATATATGAGACAGGCAACGGTTATAAAAACCTGTAATTTATAATTTTTTTGATAAGATACCTACATAAATTGTATTCGAACAGCACAATACATACAAGTAGGTACATTTAGTCTAAGTACGTTTAATGTGGATTATAAGCCTATAAGGACTGTTGAATCAATATCAATAATGAGTACTCGGTCATCTTTCAAATATTAATGCAATAATTTCATAACCATTGTCAAGTGTCAATTGTTGTTCTGCTAAAACAACTTTAGGGTTCTAAGATAGAACTTATTTGCCATGAAAAAAACTACAATTATTTTGGTAATTGGCATTTATTTTAATTATTGAATTGCATAATGATACAAAATATTGTGTAAAAAAGTTGTCTTACTACATATAACGCATATTAATCCATAAATAAAAGTAGGACGTTAGAATTTTATTTACCAAATCTGTATCAGTTCCTGCGGTCGAAGCTCTGCAAAGCATTTTTAACAGAAATCACGACAGCTGATAAAACAAAAATGTTATCTAACACGCGTGTTGTGCGCTGCTTAACTCGTTATTGTATTGCGTCATCAATGTGTTTACTCTTATGTTCATTATTAATTAAGAAAAAGTAGGAACCGCAAAATAATAATACAAATAACAAAATTCCTGAGAAATCGTTACGTGATCCAGACGCGTGTGTCGTCCGGAACGTTTTCGCGGTCACTACTACCAATGCCATGGTATAAATAGGCTCTGATTCCTCAAGGCTAAGTTCTTCGGTATTTTACTATGTCAATTTCCTTCCTCTCCTAACTGTGTATATTCCTTATGTAAATTATGTATTTTAGGGGAATTGCCGTTGACGGTTTCTATAACAATTTTTCCGCTAGTAGGTATATACCGTTTCACTATCACTATGGACAGGGTATAATCCACCACACCAAAATACAGGAGACCGGAATATGAAAGATTGGGAATTTATAAAGTCTTTACTTGTTTGAAGAAAATTATTACATTTTGCCAACCTTTATTTTAATTAAGTAGTTCGACTCATCCGTAGAACAAAGATCTATAACTATGCATGACTACTTGGTCTCAGGACATAGTACATTTCGTTCGTTCTTCTTCGCTGTGGATGTCAGATCTACCGTTCCTCGATTTTATATTTCCGAAATGAAATAATATATATAAATTCTCACAACACTTTTATGTAGGCCTCAGTTTGAATAAGAAAATTATTCTCGTAACGTACTTTAATACCTAAACCACAAAATCCAACATCAATTACAAATTTTGAATCAATATTATGCTATAGGTGACAACCACCGATGCCATGGATAACCAGAAGCGGTAGTCGAGTCTAAAAAAGTTCGCAGTGTTGAAGGAAATCGGTTGCGACTGTATAAGCTCACGAAATTCGATCACCGCAGACTTCAGTTCCTCACCTAGACAGAAAAGAATATTGAATTACTACAAACATATCTTATATCAGTACATAGGTATACAATTTTTTTAGTTTTTGTCCACCCGAAACTGTTACAAACAGAAATAGAGTGACAAAGGGTGTGTTCAAACAAGAGTGGGTGTGTGTTGTGTGACGTACAACGTGCGCAACTGAAGTTAATCGATTAATTCATGGAGCAGGCCAGGTTTTCTACAGGCTAGCCATTGACAATGAATGTTATATCCGATATTTCTCGTCAAAAATGTTGGATGGCATGTCGTTGAACTTAGATTAATTGTATGTTCACTAATAACACATCACCTACATTCGACAAGTACCTACATCCGATTAGTCACTTGTAAAAAAAATCGTCGCCTTACTTTCTTAAACCCGTATCTTAAAACACAAAGTTACTGAAATGCACAAAATGGATTGTCTAAACAAATGTTGCAGGCTAATTTCACTTCACATTTCCATCATATTGACACACTGGCTTTTACCTATTCTTAAAGTAATGCATCAAAATTAACACCCTCGATAAGAAATTTAAAATCAATAGAAAGTTGTACTATCTCCTGAATAATCACTCTATAAGATACAAGTCTGAGAAAGTAAGACATCGAAATAAATTTCAAGAACATTCATCCGCCGTCAAATACGAGGAGAACGAATTTACGAAGCAAAAAAGGGAGCCACCACACTTATTAACGCGAAATCAATTTGAGCCCGTCAGAAAAAGGTTATGTCCACACAATGCAATTGCCCAGACCGCCACCGACCATCACCGTCTTTTTTACTCTTATTACATGGACATAAAGCTTCTTCTAATGCGACTCCAAATCGATAAATGTGGTGACGAAACCAATATTGATTTTCAAGGTTAGAACAGTAGAGTCTAATTTGTAGTTTTATGTGTACGATGATAATACTACCTAAAGAACGTATTAATTAGACTGTGGTACTACGATAGAATGAATTGAAATTAACCAATTCAAATAGCGAATTGTGTCGACATAAACACACACATAGAATTGTATAATTCTTCTTTTTCTTATCATGTCAATACTTCTAGTTTTAGGACTAAGCATATTTGACTTTGACTTGTTGCCACCTAGACAGCATTTGTAATATTAGGTAATACATATAGGGGGTGTTTTTGGACATAGTTTTGCAAAAATGATCCAATCCACTTTTGATCAAAATTGAGTTATTCCTAAGGCAGGGCATACCCACTAACACCCTCTTCTTACCTCTGAATATTTTGCTTATTGACAAAAACTTGCAAAAAGAATCTAGGTACCTATCCATCCCTTTCATTGAAATTCAAAAGCTGACAAGATTTTCTTTATACATATACACTAAAAAGAATGAATATCAATTAGGTAGATACTAAATACGTTAATACGTAATCTGAAAAATAAAAGACGGTATTTTACTGTTTGACTCCACAGAACATTCCTCAATTTGTTACATGGAATTTTCTAATCTAAAAGTTGTAATTATACTGACAAAAGGAATACACTGTATTGGCGCAGTGTATTCCACATACATTTGACAGGAATTAAGAAATGTCAAAATTGATTAGAAGTTAATATCTCACGTGTGTATGACAATATCTAGTAGCAGTTATTTTAGTAGCAGTAGAGGCTCCTTGTGAAAAAGTTCGTCCATGATAGTACAGCCACCTTACCTATTTCTGCCGCCAAGCAGTAATGTTAACACTATTGTGTTCCGGTTTTAAAGGGTAGAGTGCTGGTGAAATTACAGGCACATGGGACTTGTCAACTTATGTCTCAGAGTGACGGGCGCAGTGGTAGTGTCCCTTAGATCTTTGCAATTTAAAGCTCTAAGTGGCGCTGTAACTGTTATGGACAGGCGTGTAGCTTACCATCAGGCGCACGACTTGTTCGTCCCGTCACTTGATGTTATAAAAAAGAAATTGCTTAAGGCAGTAATTGACTTGAGAGTCAGTATTTTTTTTACAACATAATGAAAAATAATTTGCATCTTTATTAGTGGCCACCATTTAGAACTACTTTTTTGGTAGGTATCACCACCTCAAGAATGTGTGGAAATGTGGATTATAATCCTAGATGGCGGCCGTCTATCGTTATGGGTACTTACTTTTGAGTAAAATTTTTAAATTAGCACGAAAACCAAGATAATGATAGCGATGACGAAAGTTTTCCTTTTTTTCGTGGCTGCCATGATGGATTGAGAAAAAACTTTTTGTTCAGCATGGAAATGCATTTGTGGACAAAATTTACCTATTGAATTATTTCAATTTTGTAAGCGTTCCTTCGTTTTTATAACTATTTCAATCTTATTCGACATCAAAATCTAAATAAAAAATGAATTTATTTCTTTTTTTATAAACAAATAAATGCGTATTTCACCCCCATCTCACCTGATGAAAAGTGGTGATGAGGTCAACGATGTAGCATTGGTACAATACGTTAAACAATTATTTATAAGCTTGTGTTGAGAAATTCCTTATGCTTAAAATAGTGAACTTATTACTCCTACAAATAAGGGCGTTAGTTAAAATAAAAGAAAAAGAAACTAAAATTTACAAATACTGTAGTATATACAAAGGAAGCCAAACAATTGATTCTGAAATGTCTTATGATTCCTATATTGATATCAAACGATGAGTACGAAAAGGTACTAAAACATTAACGACTAATTGTTTTACAGGTTGTTATAAAAATGTAAGTAGTGTGTTTTTGAATTTCTGA